CTGCTGACAGGGAATTTAGAAAAGTTGCAGAAGTCTGTAGCAGTCGGCTGTCTGCTGGAGAACTGGGCAGAAAAAACCAACAGGAAAAACTGAAGCTGGTAGATGATCTTTGGAAGGAGTTAAACAGGTTTACAGAAAAAGCTGAGAATTATTGAACCCAGATAAAACAGTATGAGATAGAGTACAAGAAATTACAGAGAGAGAGAGAGAAATAAATTAGATGGCATTTAAACAAGATCATGAGGAGAAAGAGGCGTTGAAAAAACAGTGCAATAATTTGAAGACTGCTATGAATGCAGTACATAAAACAGCTCAGGAGAGGAGCAGTACTATGGGAGATCGAGAATGGAAGCCAGAACACACACAAGCAATAACAGCTTTGAAGTAGGGCTTGGTGAGCACTCCTGTCCTGTTTACCCCGAACCATTCTCCTTAGAGGTGGCCCTAACAGATTCCACAATATCAGTGGCCTTATTACAGGTGGTATACGGTCAGTTAAGACCAGTAACCTATGCTTCATGCATGCTCGTGCCAATAGAGCATGTGAAAAGTATTTGTTGGCCTTCTGGGTGGTAGAATATTTTACCTACATCGTAAGTTGAGCCTGTTGACAATTTTGACAGAATATACACCCATTCAGATGCTGCTGGATACACGCATCAACAATGGCACAGTAAGCCAAAATAGAATTGCCAGATGGACACTTTAGTTACAGGAGAGAAACGTAGCAGTAAAAGGGGTGAAAACTACTACTATGTTAGGCAACAACTTACTGTATCAAGGAGAAAAACATGAGTGCCAAGTTATGATAGCAAATGATCCCAAGGGACCATTTGTATCAAATCAAAAGGGAAGGAATACTGGTAATTAACAAAATTTTTTTAAAAAAAATTTGTCGACTGCTCTTCATCTGTACAGATAGGACAATAAAAGATGCCAAAGAAACAAACCGCTCCTCGATCCCACCACAAGAAGAAAGTGGGTCGGAAGAAACGATTAGCTAGAGTCCGAAGAAAATTGGGAGCAGGACTTGGATGAACTAGTAGGAAAAACTAAATTAAATGTAAGAAACAAGCTGGAAATAAGAGAAGTTACAGTTGTGTATTACAGGCCTAGTGCAAGATGAAGGGAATAATATATCTCATTGCAACCGGGTTAACCACGACAGAGGCCACAGTCAGACTCGCTCTGGAACTCTAACTTTAGTTCTTATTTTTCTTATACTATTAATATCTGTAAGGTGATGCAACTTTTTTTTTTCCCCTTTGTCTATCTATTTTGTATCAAACGTTTTTACCCCAGTACTGTGTACCTAAAATGGTACCATGTCAGGGGATATTGTAAACATTTTACCGTACTCCTCTACTTCTGTATTTGAGTACATGTGACAATAAACCTAATTCAGGCTGACAAGCACACCTGTATCAGTGTCAACACTTAAAGAATACCCTGTGATCAAGAACAACTTCGCTCAAAAGATCAAGGTAATACAGATGAACAGAGGGGAAGTAGAGGGGTCAAACTTGTATTATGCAGTGGTGGATGGTTTGGCGTGCACAAGTAAAACTTTGAGTATCCAGGAAGGGGTACGGTTTTCATGCAACAAAATTCTAGAAGTGACAATGTCAGTCATCCCAGATGGGAAAATCATTAGTCAGTTTCTACACCTATTATTGGGCAACCATTCAGAAATGATGGCCAAGATAAAAATTATGGTTCACTGGGATCAGTACTTATGAAAATTGCTCATTGTCTATTTTGCCTGCAAATAATCAGTTTTTTGTTTGCAACATGTACTCGTGGACAGACATACTATGTAGCAACGGCAGCCATGAATTCTATCAAGGGACAGAAATAGCTACATTGTGTCCCTCCAAAGGACTAGGTCGATAAAGTGACCTCAGTCCTGGTTATCGGAGAACAAAGCTTGCCTTGGCCAGTAACAAAAGTGGGAATGAAGGAAAATCTCATGATTCAACACACCAAAACAGATCAGGATCTGTGGGCGTGCATTGCCAAGGTGCCACAATTTCCAAACCTAACAGCGAGCTGTGCACAAATTGCAGAAAAGGGAAAGGTGACAATGAAATAAACATACTTGAACAAATGCCGATAAGACAAAAGAGGTGTTGCGTGTCCCTGGTTTTTGGAGTAGTTTTGGAATTGTAGATCTAATGCTCAAATACACCCATGGGGGAGAACGTTATCGCATGCAGCTGTAATATTGATTTTGTGTACGTTGGTAATTGTAATACTGAATGGGCATCAGCTCAGAAGGTGGAAAGAATTAAATTTATATGGAAGTTAGAAGTTGAAGCTCTAACGAAACAGAAGGGACAAATGTTATTATAAAAGATTGTATGCATTAAGTAGTCAGACCTTTTAAACAAAGTAGGTGGTATACATATATAAAAAAAATCTATATACAAACGCGGGTGTAACACACCCACTGCGGGGTCAGCAGCACCCCATGGGCGGTGAGCAAAATGAAAGGCAAATGATGATCCTAAGATGAATATCTATGGATCAAGAGGTGGGGTGTGTGTGTGTGTGTGTGCGCGTGCCAGTTAGAACTGGCTTGATGAAGTTCAATGCACAAAACTGAGTTGATGCACTGTGGTACAAAATAACATGGAGAATAGTACGAAAATTGTTACTATTCCAAAGGGTATGCAGGATCACAGAGACCTGGGTTTATACATGTATAAGTCATTAAAAGGTGGTAGTACTGGTAGCAGATCTGTTAATAAAGCCTGCAGTATTCTACCCTTTATTAATAGAGAAAAGCAGTACAAGAGCAGGGAGGTGATGCTGGACTTATACAGAACAACTGAATAGACCTCAGCTTGAGTAGTGAGTACAGCGCTAGTTGTGAGACTATAGGAAGGATCTGAATGCATTAGATAGAGTACAGAAGAGGTTTATGAGAATGGTTCCAGGAATAAGAAACATCAGTTATTAAAATGTTTGAAGAAGTGGCGATTACTTTCCTTGCACAAGAGAAGACTAAAAGGTGATTGGATAGAAGTTTTCTAAATTGAGGGGTGGCTGGGCAGAGTAGATAAGGAGAAATTGTTCCTGCTTCTAAGATGACACAAAGTTTTTTGCACAAGAAAAACTTCTTCATACAGGACTGGGAGCGGCAATGCACTGCCTGGAAGTGTGTGGAGAAGATTCCACTGAACACTCAAAGAGGGCATTGTTTCTACTTAACTAATCATCCAATGTGCAAGGTTATGGGGAGAAACAGAAGTTTGGCTCTAAGCCCAAATGCTGACAGCCTGTGCAGTATGGTACGCCAAATGGCCTCCTTTTGCATGTAACAATTTTGTGACTCAGCACCAAAGAGAGATTGTTATTTCTGAACTGTATCCCATCACTACACAGAAACAAGCAGCACTTGGGCCTTCACGGTTTGAGTGAGGATTTGTAGCTCGGGTGCTGGTTGTAGATGTTGGTGTGTTCACCGAGCTGGGAGGTTTGGTAGCAAACATTTCGTCCCCTTACTCGGTGACATCCTCAGTACTGTGGAACCTCCTGTGAAGCGCTGTTGTCTTGTGCCGGCTCGAATTTATATATGGGCTGGTTTTTGCTGCTTCCTGCAAGTGCCGGTTCCAGTTCCAGTTGTGCATTCCCTCGGAGGGAATTCTTGGAGACTTGGCATTCATCCGCAGACTCAATCAATAAACACATGGAATTAGACCCGATATACTGACTATTACAATACATGACCAGAACCAGCACCTACAGGAAGCAGTAAAAACCAGACCATATATAAATTCCAGCCCGGCACAAGACAACTGCGCTTCACAGGAGGTTCCACAGCACTGAGGATATCACCAAGGAGGCGAAATGTCTGCTATCAAACCTCCCAGCTCGGTGAACATACCAACATCTACAGCACTTGGGCCTGTTCTGTTATTAGAGTTAATAACTTATATATGTTCCATCTACCCTTGGTGTTGGAGCATTTATATCCTTGCCTAACAAAGTTGATCAAATTTAGTTTTGAAATCTGCAACTGAACTACCTTTAACATCATTCTGGAAGAGAGACTTACTGGCATTCATTACCCTTATTGTCGAGCTCCCTCTGGTGTACTCAGAATTTTTATTTTAAGATTAGATTATATAACATTTGTAAATCCATCCAGGATAGACAAGAATCTGGGGTCAATATGGAATGGTGCTTGTCAAAACATAGCAAGCTAGTGGGAATGGGTAGCTGGCATAAAAGGGGAAATAGGCAGAGAAGCCTGTGCCCTGACAGCCTGCCAGCCATTTTACATTGGAGACAAATATCACGCATTTAGCAGCTATGAATGGCATGTCAAAAACTCAAAATTGACTAACCAGCCAAAAATCTACAGAAGATGATAAATCTGAAAAGAAAATGGTCTCAAAATCTGATTCTTGTTTCAAATGGTGCGATTAAGTCAAGGAAAAAGTCTTCAAAGTTGACAATAAAGCTTGATAGGATGAAGCTGTTTTCATTTGTAAAAGAAACAAGAGGCCATATATTCAAAGTGATGCGCAAATGAAGCAAGGGTGATGTGAGAAAAAGAGAGTATGGAATCCACTGCCTGGAAATATGGTGGAGACACATTCAATTGAAGGCCTTCAAGAGGGTATTAAGATGTTTATTTGCCAAGTAATGGTGTGCAGAGATGTGGGGGAAAGGCAGGAGATTGGCATCAGATAATAGAACTGGTGCAGGCATAAGAGGCTGAATAACCTCTTCCTACACTGTAATATTTCTGGCCTTTCCCTCTGGATTATTGGAACAAAAAAAAAAAAATTCCAAAACATTTCTAGTGTTAAGAACCAAATCAAACAGCTTTTAAATTGTTCAAGTTTCCCTTTTCTGCTATTTTAGACAAAACCTAACAACACTATATTTCTAAACATGTACAATGCTAACAAGATCTATAAAGGCAAGTGTATCCCCAAAAACTTCATCACCAAGTATGGATGTTGGATAATATTTAAAAGTATACTCACTCAAATCCTGCTATTGGTTCAATGTAAACATTGATCTGAACTCGTTTTGCTGCCCTCACGAGGAGTCCTGTAAGCTAAACATTACAACAAGTCAGCACAGACAGATATTCACTTGTGCGTTGTTATAGAAAATCAAGTTATTTTCTTGTAGGTGTTCACCATCCTGTAATAAACCTCTTTCAACTCTTTGCACCCATGCACATCACTTTATAAGTGAACAATTCTCACTGTCTGCTTACATTCTACATACTTTACCTTAAAGCCACCCAACATTAGGTGGCACTCTGACTATTCACACATGTTTGCCTATCATTAACTGTTGTCACATTTTAAATTTTCAAATTCAAAAATGAGATGTCTTTACCTCACAACATTTACTTTTCCCACTTACTTAATTTCAATCTCCCTTCCTACTCTCATTTGATGGAAAACTGCATTGAGGCGCTAACCATGCAAAGGCCCTGCCCTATGGCCCTCTCTTCAGACCCAGATTTCCCTGTTTGGCATTGTTTCCACTCAAGGTATTTTCCCAGATAATGATTGCTGGCATGTGATATTGTGACTGGTGACATTTGCCACTTCTACTAGTATGTGGTACAGGGTATGGATTATTTGAGGCAGCTCACTGCCTTCTTCTTTGCTGTGTCTTGGGTCTATCAAAGGATTAGGGGTACACTATTGCAGTGTGAAGGCACCGTTTTTAAAGCTCAGAAAGATTATTATATGATAGCAAAAAGTACTATATCTGGTCAGGCATAATTAATAGGATCTTGTGAAGCAAGTACAGATACACTGGTTGCCTCCAAAAGCTAGAATAGAACTTATTGTCTCCACCCACAGAGAGATATTAATAGAATGGTTGGAGCTAACGTAACAAACATTAAGCCTTGCAGAACCACTGATGTTAGGAAGAAAGGGTGTTGTCTAAAGCAGAAATTTCAGTCACAATGGAAGTTGAATCCACAATAACTTAGGAAAAATTTAAAAAAAGCAAACAATTTTTAAGAACGACTATTTGGTGTGCCATAGGCATCTGTTGTGTTTCAGTGGCATCAGTCACCACCTTAATCAGTTTGTTATATTGTTATTGTGTAGTAACACCAACCCAATCATCCATGAGACAAACTCAAATAAACACTTCCTCAAATATAAACAATATAGATTGAGAAATTGGTTTATAAACTAGTTACTTATTTACATATTTAAATTCATCATAGATGTGAAGCTGTATTTGGGTAAATCCAAATTAAGGTTAACTAAAATTGGAACACAATTTCCTTCCTTGTACCAAACATTTACATGGTTAATTTTGCACAGTTTGTCTTTAAGAGTGAGGTCTGTTATTGAACAGTATTGCTGTGACTATTCCCAGACCCAGTCAGCTAATTTGTAGATCCAGATTTTCATTGGATCAATGATTCTTTTGTTGGAATACAGCATTAGCTTTTACAGCAGAAACATGAGAAGTTAAGGTGCACATCATTCTCCAACAAGAAGAGCTACAAAAGCATCAGATACAAAGCATGTTTGTAGCTAGTAGTGATAGGTAACAACATCATACTTAATAACACTGCAGACAGTCTGTTCTAAGTCTCTCGAGTATTTTAATTATAGTGACCCATACTATCAATGGCACTTCATTCCCATCAACAGAAATCATCCAAGTAACAGAAAACTGTATTAGCAGATAGAATTTGTTTATTGCTGAAGTGTGCATTTCAGGTTTAACTTGTTAAAATTAGTCTTGCTCCAAAATCCAAAAACATTGCCACTTTAAAAGAATATTCAAACAGCCAGATCTATCCTTATTTTATCCAGTACAATGCACGACGTTGGCTAAGTAATTGCTTCTGATTGGTGGGTTAGAGCTGTCCATTGGAATCCAAATGCTATCCTCTTATTATCTGACAGAAAAACATTACAACGAGTACTATCTCGATCTCGAATTAGGCTTACCCTATGACAGTTATCATTATGTCCTTTATGCAAAAGTTGAGAGCGGGCCAACTCAAACCATGCAGTACTTGTAAGGCTGCAATTATTTGTTGGATTAGTGTGTGTTCTGCCTTTAACAATCTCAGAATACTTCCTTTGATCTTCACAAATGATGATTGTTGTTTTGGCGGAAGCCATTGGACAGTTGAGCACAATACATAAAATCATCCATGGCCTTTTAGAGTCACTATCTGTAACAAAATCACTCATCGGCAGAGACTCAATAACTCAGTGCTGAAGAAGCTTCCCAGACAGCAATAAAAGGAGCTGGAATAGAGCTACTGGCCTGCTTACGTTCTAATCGTGCCCTTTTGGTGGCTGCCCCAAGCTTTAGTGCATTCCTTAGCATGTAGTTCTGGATCTTGCAATGTGCCAGACTGTAACACTCAGTCAAGGACAACGACTTACACTGGAAAACCTGAAAGTTTCAGGTTGACAATCCTCCAGGCATAGTTGACAGTTGTCTTGGCGCACATCCCTGGGAGTAGCTTGTACAGCACAGAGTCCTGTACCACAAAGCTGCTTGGGGTGTATCATGACAAAAACTGCTACATTTAGGGAAAGGCAGACGTGCAATTTTTTACCACTGCAGCTGGTTCAAGGGCACTTTATGTGTCGCAGAAGCATCGCACAAAATAAAACACAAAAACAAAATCAGGCAGAGGGCACCCTTCTCACCACTAGCCAAGTTTGTTTGAAAGTTCTGGTGAAGAGGCATTCTGCCAAATGTCGGAGAGTCCGGAACCCAAAGGTAGGGTCAGCTGTTTCTATTGCCCCAGGGCCTCGAGGACCTTACATATGACAACTGCCTGATGAACCTGTGGTCAAAAAGTGCTTCTCTACAATTTTTTCCGCAACAGATTAAATGGTACAGTCCAACTGCTTGGACTGCAATGTGGCCAGATCCAGCCTGCGAGATACCAGGGCAGGTAGAAGGTTAGTACATAGTGACACTTGGTGTTTATGAATGAGGGTCCAAGGCAGCTGCCAACGGCAAGTATTCTTTGGTCTTCTAAAGTAGAGAAGACCGATGGCAGCACGTAACTGATGTACTGAAAATCACAAGAGTAAATAACAGAAGGTGTGCTGCAGCAAATTGTCACCAATTCAGAATCCAAGGTAAGCATTAACTGACATCCAATCCCTCTCAAGATGCAACATTTGACTTGAACAACATGTTTACAACTTGTACATTTAATAAATGGTCATCCCAAGCCTGCATGTTGTCCAGATCTTGTTGAGTTTGCTCATGAACTGCTTCAGTATCTGAGGAGTTGCGAATGGTGCTGAATATTGTGCAGTCATTGGCAAACATCCCCACTTCTGACCTTATGATGGACAGAAAGTCACTGATGAAGCAGCTGAAGATGGTTTGTCTAGCACACTGTCCTGAGGAACCCTACAGAGGATGACCTGGAGCTGAGATGACTGATGGCTCTAACTACTGGAGAGTTTTCCCCGATTCCCACCTGGCTGTTGATAATAACAACCAAGTGCATGATTCACAAAAGATTAGTACACAGGTACAGCAATCATTAGAAATATTAATAGATGTTATCATTTATTGAAAGAAAATTAAAAAATAGGGAGGTTATGCTTCAGGTATATAGGGCACTGGTTAGACTGCATTTGAAGAATTGCATACCGTATTGGTCACCTTACTCATGGATGGATGTAATTCTGTTAGAAGCTGTTCAGAGAAGGCTTACCAGACTCATACCCGAAATGGGTGAATTTTCTTAGGAAAAATGGCTGGGCTTGTATCTGCTGGAGTTTGAAACAGTAACAGCAATTTCATTGAAACAGGAAGGGTATTGACAGGTAGATGAGGAGAGTTATAGGAGAATATAGAATTAGGGGTAACTGTTTTAAAAAAACAGAACTACCCATTTAAAACAGACAAGACAAAGTTTTTACTGTTATAGCATCTGGAGGCTTTGATACTCTGCTTCCATCACTTGTTTGGGTAAGACAGACTTTGAATAATTTAGTGCAGAGGTAGACACAGTTTTGTTAGGCAAGATGCAAAGTGGGGTGATGGTGAAAAGTTGTCATGGGTAGGCACAAATGCAGATTAGTGCTTACAATCAGACCAATCACAATCTTGTTAAGTGACAGCTCAGACTCAAGGGACTGAATGGCCTACTCCTGCACATTGTTCAAATTTCATGTCTCTCTTTGAAAGTTACAATACACACATTGCTTTCTGTGTATAGTGCACAAACTGTCAGTGAGCAAGAACAGGCTGAGTTGGCTGATCAGAACAAATACCAGTGCAGGCTTGAAGGGCCAATGGCACACTCCAGCTCCTTTTTAAACATGTTCCTACGTTCTATTTTTCATGAAGTTAGCTACATTTACTTACAGAATTTATGTCCAGAAACGTTTCATGGTTCGCCTTGTCTGGGTGCATTCCCTCAATATCATCAATATATTTTTGATCTGCCTGGTAAAAGTGTGGAGATGAAAGAACGATAGGAGCCCCTATTGTAGTAAAGGAGAGAAAAATAAAATGTTAATTGATTGAGTGTGCCTAAATGGTATTATACATTGTAAATAAGGTGTTTTTTGGTTCATAGTGAAACTACTACATATTTAATGGCTGCACAAATTAAACTCACACCTTTAGTCAAATTAAAAGAGGAAGGTTAGATTAATTGATTGTATATGGTGAGCTGCCATAGAACCAAATGAAGTTAGGTATCCAGGAACTGAGAAACATACACCCCTAGTACAAGCAGTGACTTTATTAACAGGCTGGCCCAGTTGTAGCATGCTTACCCAAGTCATCTGAGACCATTTAAAGTGTTAAGTACACTCAGTCAATTTGCAAAAATCCACTGACCTTTCAGTGAGACTTTGCACAAGAAGTTTCCATGTTTTATGAACGCAATGGTCAAAGGTGAGTTCTGTAAGTGCAATCACAGGTTGCATGGCCTGCCAGTTCAAACTCCACACAGTCAGACTCTGACCTACTATCGGTAACATTACAAGAAGTCATGATAAATGCTTCAGAGGCGACAAACCTTAAAACACGAACTGTAACATTGGTCTTCTTCAGGCACCATTCTCGATTATTTGCCATCATTTAACCATGGCTTACGCCACCATTGTCCTAAGGGGCTGGATTAAGAAGTAGGCTCTAAACCTACCGCAGCAAGAATAGGGATCAAATCCTGCACCGTTAGCATCATGCTCAACCACATCCTAGCTATGGCGTGGTGAGCATCACGGAGACATGGCTGCAAGGGGATCAGGATTGGGAGCTGAATATCCAAGGATATACATCTTATCAAAAAGATAGACAGGTGGGCAGAAGGGGCAGGTTGCCTTATTAGTAAGAAACAAAGTAGGGTCAGATGGTGTAGAATCTGTGTGGGTAGAGTTGAGGAACCGCAGGAGGTTTAAAAAAAAACATAGTTGGAATTATGTACAGGCCTCCAAATAGCAGTCAGGAGCTGGGGCGCAAGATACACCAGGAGTTAGAAAAGGTGTGTTAGAAAGGAGAAGTCACAGTGATCATGGGAGATTTCAATATGCAGGTGGACTGGGAAAATCAGGTTGGTAGTGGATTGCAAGAAAAGGAATTTGTGGAATGTCTGAGATGGCTTTTTGGAGCAGCTTGTGGAGATCACTAGGGAACATGCAATTCTGGATATAGTGTTATGCAATGAGGCAGACTTGATAAGGGAGCTGAAGGTGAAAGAACCCTTAGGAGGCAGTGATCATAAGATGATTGAATTTACTCTGCAATTGGAGAGGGAGACGATAGAATCAGAGGTAACGGTAATTCAGCTAAATAAAGGCAACTACAGAGGTATGAGGGAGGAGCTGGGCAGAATTGACTGGGAGAGGAGCCTAGCAGGAAAGACAGTGGAACAGCAAAGGCATGAGTTTCTGGGAGTAATTCAGGAGACGCAGCAAAAATTCATCCCTAGGAAAAAGAAGCATGGTACAGGGAGGATGAGGCAACCATGGCTGACTAGGGAAGTTGGGGATAGTATAAAAGCAAAAGAGAAAGCATATAATGTGGCGAAGGGGAGTGGGAAACCAGAGGACTGGGAAGCTTAAAAAGACCAACAGAGGGCAACACAAAAAGGAAATAAAGGAGGGAGAAGATTAAATGAGGGTAAGCTAGCCAGTAATATAAAGGAGAACCATAAGGCTTTCTTTAGATATATAAAGGGCAAGAGAGATGTAAAATTGGACACTGGATTGCTGGAAATGACACTGGAGAGATAGTAGTGGGGAACAAGGAAGTGACTGAGGAACTGAATAATTAATTTGCATCAGTCTTCACAGTGGAACACACGGGTAATATCCCAAAAAAATTCAAGAGAGTCAGGGACAGAGCTGAGTATGGTGGCCATCACCAAGAAGAAGGTGCTAGTAAAACTGATTGGCCTAAAGGTGGATAAATCACCAGGATCAGATGGACTACACCCCAGAGTTCTGAAGGAGATAGCTGAAGAGATAGTGGAGGTGTTAGTGGTGATCTTTCAGGAATCGCTAGAGTCAGGGAGGGTCCCAGAGGACTGGAAAAATCACTAACGTGACACCTCAGTTTAAAAAAGGAAGTAAGGCAAAAGACTGAAAATTACAGGCCGATTAGCCTAACCTTGGCTGTGGGTAAGATTTTAGAGTCCATTGTGAAAGATGAGATTTCTGAATACTTGGAAATGTATGGTAAAATAGGACAAAGTCAGCATGGCTTCATTAACAGGAGGTCATGCCTGACAAAGCTGTTAGAATTATTTGAGGAAGTAACAGGCAGGTTAGACCAAGGAGAGCCAATGGATGTTATCTACCTGGACTTCAAGAAGGCCTTTTGACAAGGTGCTGCACAGGAGGCTGCTGAGTAAGATAAGGGCCCATGGTGTTAGAGGCAAGGTGCTAGCATGGATAGAAGATTGGCTGTCTGGCAGAAAGCACAGAGTGGGGTTAAAGGGTCTTTCTCTGGATGGCAGCCAGTGATAAATGGTGTTCCACAAGGGTCAGTGTTGGGACCACAACTTTTCACTTTATACATTAAGGATCTAGATGAAGGAACCGAGGGCATTCTGGCTAAGTTTGCAGACGATACAAAGATAGGTAGAGGGACAGGTAATATTGTGGATGCGGGGAAGCTGCAGAAGGATTTGGACAGGTTAGGAGAGTGGGCAAAGAAGTCACAGATGGAGTACAATGTGAGAAAGTGTGAGGTCATGCACTTTGGGAAGAAGAATAGAATCATGGCCTATTTTCTAAATGGGGAGAACATTCAGAAATCTGAAGTGCAAAGAGACTTGGGAGTTCTCGTCCAGGATTTTCTCAAGGTAAACTTGCAGGCTGAGTCAGTAGTTAGGAAGGCAAATGCATGGAATGGCATTTCTTTTGAGAAGACTTGAATATAAAAGCACGGATGTACTTCGGAGGCTCTGTAAGGCTCTGGTCAGGCCACATTTGGAGTATTGTGTACATTTTTGGGCCCCATATCTTGGGAAAGATGTACTGGCCCTGGATCAGTTTCAGAGGAGGTACACAAGAATGGTCCCAGGAATGAAAAACTTAACATATGAGGAATGTTTGAGGACTCTGGGTCTCTACTTGATAGAAGGATGAGGGGGATCTGACTGAAACTTCGGAATAATGAATGGCCTGGACAGAGTGGATGTTGGGAAGAGGTTTCCATTGGTAGGAGAGACTAGGACCCGACGGCACAGCCTTAGAGTAAAGGGAAGACCTTTTAGAACGGAGATTAGGAGAAACTTCTTCAGCCAGAGAGTGGTGAATCTATGGAATTCACTGCCACAGAAGGCTGTAGAGGCCAGGTCATTAAGTATATTTAAGATGGAGATAGATTGGTTCTTGATTGTCAAGGGGTCAGGGTTATGGGGAGAAAGCCAGAGAATGGGGTTGAGAAACTTATCAGCCATGACTGAATGACAGAGCAGATTCGATGGGCTGAATGGCCTAATTTCTGTCTTATGGTCTGTCTAGCAGTGGAGCTAACCAACTCGTTTTGTAATTCTAGTCCATAAAATCTCTAAGTTTATCTTGAAGGGTCCAAACCCTCCAAACAGAGCCCTGTTCCTTCCAACATCAGTCAATATGTGACTTTAATCCAGTTACCTTGCCTGCACATGCTCACATTCAATAGACCTGAACCCAGGCAGTTTCCAGCTGGAACACAGAAACCAGCATTTTCTGGGTTCACTGTGAAATTTGCAAAAATCTCACTTGGAGGCACAAATCGCAAAACTGGTATCCCTTTGACACTAAGTTCCTGCTCAAAATTGGCATAGAGGGACCTGTTAACAAAATTTAAAAAAAAACACAATTAGTAAAACTCTTCTTATTTTCAAAAGGAAGATTGACGACAATACAGACTGAGTTGTGTTCAGCGTTATCGAACACAAATTTTGAACCAGGAACAGAAGTTGCTTAGTAATATTAAAAAAGGCTAACAGTATACATGAGGGTCTTACCTGTTTAAGATGGCCAATTTTAAGAAGTTGGCAACTATGATTTGCTTGCTTTGTAATGACATCTTCATAATGACGCAGCAGCTCACTTTAATTTGACTTGTAACCTGGATGTCATTTGCTAACAAGCCTTTTACAACGTGAGTGTCCGAAACATTACAGCAATTATATTTGTCCCATTCCCATTAAGTCCTTGTGGTGCTGCAGTTCCACCAGTGTCTGGCAGCTCAAATCGATTGAGGCTGTTCACTACTGTCTGTTGTCACCTGATGTCCATGATCAAGAAATGGACATTCTCCTCCCACAAGGTAAGCCAGCTCCACACAAATTGTGTTTGAACTAGGGCTGCTTAGTATTCTCAAAGCTACATTTATTCGAGAGAATGAGGGAGTCAAGCAATAATGCATTGTCAGGTAAAACTGCAATTTAGTACCAAAGGACCTGAAACAAGCTATAGATTATAATCAATGCATCAGGCTTTCTCCATTCCTAACAGTTTGGAAATCATCTAAAATTGCATGGAATTCCAAACATACACAAAATCAGTGGCTTTCAAAAGGGAATTGCAGAGCATTCTCGTTTGTTCTCCTTGTACCATCTTGAAAAGCAAGTCATGCTCCTCTTTAAAGTGATCAAAAAGTGTGGAGAGATGGGAGGATAATGTCCAAAGTTTGTTTGTTTCTTCATATGCTACTATACAGAACTGAACAGCTTTAGTAACTATATGAACATACTTTTATGAACAAAGTATGTTTTTGAAAGAAAAATGTCAGAAATTATAAACATCTTGCATTATAAAGCGGCTTTAATATAGTAGATATTTCAAGGCACTACACAGGCATGTTATTGAATCAATTTACTGAAATATATATTGATAAAATGTGCAAAAACAAGAAATAATTGAATATATTCCTAAAAGAATGGAGACAGATACAGTAAAGCAACAGTTCAGGTTGCACAGGTCTCCTCCTAGTGGAAGGCAGGCCAATAACTAAAAAGTAAGGAAAAAAAGACTTCACTTTGAAGGAAAAGCTTCCCAGCAATATTTTTTTCCAGTGGCTGTGCTTTGAAATTATAGTGGTGTTATTTCGTTTTAAATTGCTGCAGTTTTTGCTGTCATGAATTATTGATCCATAAGGTCATTTAGGTCTGCAAACTGATGAATACCAACATGTGGAAGTTCGAGGTGGTCCCCTGTGTATCCTGAGCACTCCTGCATCAAGAACATTAGACATGATAATATAGAAAGCGAGCAGCAGACTGAGTGCACTCTGCTCTGGTGCGTGTCTGATAGATGCAGAGATTTTTTATTCGTGCTCTAATAAAATTGACCAAGCTCAGCTTTGTGCTTGGAGGCACCCTGAGGACCTTGTTGGTTGGTTCTGGAGTGGGAGGAGGAGCCACAGATTCATGGAACTGGAAGAAAAGGTGACTTCAGCTCCACATCTTACTTTCTTTTGTGCTTCATCTCGGTATTCATAAAACAAAAATGTTAAAGTTGGGAGTGATGGGAGAGAAAGAGCAGGAAAGGGATAAACCAAAGAGAAAGAATGAAAAAATATACAAGAGTGAAAAAAGGTGCTCAAATACCTTTGTGACTATACTTTCCCTGCCTTTTTCACTTCTAGAACACTCGAACTACCTGTGCTCCCCAATTCCGGTCACCTGCACATACCATATTTCCTTCACCCCCAAGTATTAGGCACCATGCCTTCTGTATCCTAAAAACTCAGGCATTCCCTTCCTAATCCTCTTGTCTCAGGAAACTCTCCTTCCTCCTTGAATACACCGCTTAAAAATTCTCTCTTTGGCTAAGCTTTATGTTGTCCTTCTCAACATCTGCCTTTTTGGCTCAGTGTCAATATTTGTCTGATTACATGCATGAAAACTGTCAACATGTGTTACTACATTAAAAGGCACTCTATAAATGCAAGTTCTTGTTGCAATCAGCTTTGCATAGTAGTTGAACGTAAAAAAAGAATGAAAATGCAAGAATAATCTTACCGGCAAAGGTCTGAAGAAAAGAAGAACAGGGTTTCATTTTTGGTTATCAAGGGGTGGAAAGAGGTTCCATCAGTCCCATTGATCATATTGCATGCATCTGTTGTCCACCAGTCCAATGAACTAATAATATTGGTATAAAAATTGTAGGAGCAAGAGAAACATTAAACCAGACAAAAAATAAGACTTGCATCAGAGCTGCATAAAAGGGAATAGCAAACACCAATTTTAACGATGCACTACAAATTCCACTTTCACAAAACAGATCTATGCATCAAATTGTCAAATTGACGTTGTGTTAATTGATTTTTCTGTACACGTTCCCACAAATTGCCAGCATTGGACATTCTACTGTAAATTAACTAACTGGAATTCAACCAGAGTTTAAAATTGCCAGATCAGCAGCATTTTGTTCGGGTTTGCACAAGTCATCAAATCCAGTCGGTTATTAACTCTCAATTGGAAACAAAACGAAAAAGCACTCACTTGTTACCTCTCCATTCGACAATGGTAGTAAAATTTTTATAACTTTTTTGCCCCGTAAGAAAAACATATTCACCATCATCTGTCTTGTTCATCTGAAAAGTACAACAATTCATTACAAAGGAGGACAGATACACCAAGTAAATCACCTGACCTCCCCCCACCCCCATGTTAGAAACCTTTCCAAACGCAAATCTAATCATTTAAACTACTCCCCCCACCTTCCACACAAAAATCAATTAAAGTATCAATAATGAAACATAATAGTGCACGGATTCATCTGGTCAGTCCATAAGAAAGCATACAACTTAAAAATATACTGTACAACAGAGACTGCTGGAGAAACTTAAAGTCTGGCAGCATCTGTGGAGAGAAAAACACCATTCTTCAGAACTGAAAGGTGTTGGAAAATGGTTATATTTTAATGGTTTTAATACAGGCACAGAAGTAGCAAGGGGTAGATGGCATAGAGGCCCAGTACACTCCCCACAAGGGGTAGTTAATAGTGGTAAAACAGAAAATGAGACGTAAATGGGTGTAAATGTGAAAAAGGAACAAATGGGTCCTCTCTACTAAGAGCAAGTAAACAAGGCAGGGCTGTGACGTTGGATGGTATGGGGAGAAGAGAATACAAGAAAAAAAAAATGCGAGAACAATCATAATGCGGTCAATTTCTAAAGCTCTTGTTCCTTGAGTTTCCGTTGTGCTTCGTTGGTAGATTGCAGCATGCCCAGAAGATAAAATATACACATTGACTGAGAAATGTGCCAGGTCTTCGACGGGAAAGAGTGCAGGGGGAGTTGCATTTTTGATTAAGAGGAGCATCACAGCAGTGGTCAGAGATGAAATAACTGAGGGGATCATCCAGTGAGGCTTTGGCTGTGGAACTAAGAAATAAGGGGGGTGGTGACATTACTGGGGTTGTACTATAGGCCCCCAAATAGTCAACAGGAATTAGAGCAACAAATATGCAGGGAGACTGGGGAGACTTGCAGGAGCAATAGCATTGTCATAATGGGGGATTTTAATTTTCCTAACATAGACTTGGATTGCCACAGTGTTAAGGGCTCAGATGGGGCGGAATTTGTTAAATGTGTTCAGGAATGTTTCCTTAAGCAGCAGGAAGGGGCAAAACTTGACTACTCTTCGGAAATAGGGCAGGACAGGTGACTGAGTTCACAGTGGGGAACACTTTGGGACCAGTGACCGCAGTTCTATTAATTTTAAAATAGTTATGGAAAAAGACAAAACTGGTCCACAGATTCAAGTTCTAAACTGGGGCAAGGTGAATTCTGATGGAATTGGACTGGAGCTTGCAGAGGCTGATTGGAGTAGTTTGTTTGCAGGCAAAGGGACCTCTGACAAGTGGGAGGCCTTTAAAAATGTGATAGCTAGAGTTCAAGATCTTTATGTTCCTGTGAGTGTGAAGGGCAAGGTTAGGTGTAGGGAACCCTGGATGATGAGGGATATTGAGGCTTTGACCAGAAAAAAGCAAGGAAGCATGGCACAGATACAGATAGTTGGGATGAAGGGAATCCCTGGGGGTACACAGGGGATACAGGAGTTTACTGAAGGAAGAAATCAGGAAGGCAAAAAGGGGGCATGAGATAGCTTTGGCTGAGAAGATTAGGGTGAATCCAAAGAGATTCTTTAAGTATGTTAAAGGAAAAAGAATAACGAGAGAGGGAATAGGACCCCTGAACGGCCAAAGTGGACATGTATGTGTGAAACTGCAAGAGGTGGGCAAGTTCCTCAATGAATATTTCTCCTCTGTGTTTATCGTGGAGAAAGACATGAAGACTTGGGAACTTGGGGAAGTTAGTGGCGATATCTTGGGGATAGTCCATATCACAGTACAGGTGGTGTTAGAAGTATTAGGATGTATGAAGACGGATAAATCTCCTGGTCCTAATCAGATATATCCAAGAACCCTGCAAGAGGCTAGGGAAGAAATTGTGGGGGCTCTGGTTGATACATTTGTATCATCATTAGCTAAGGGTGAAGTCCCAGAAGACCGGAGGGCAGAGAATATTGTGTCCTTTTTCAAGAAGGGCTGCAAAAAAAAAAATCTAGGAATTATGGGCCAGGAAGTTTAACATCTGTAGTAGGTAAGTTACTTGAAAAGATTCTGAGGGATAAGATATACATGAATTTGGAAAGACAGGGTGAGATTAGGTGTAGTCAGCATGGCTTTGTGTGTGGGGGATGATGCCTCACAAATTTGTTGGAGTTCTTTGATGAAATGACCAGGAAGGTTGATGAGGGCAGGGCAGTAGGCGTAGTCTATATAGATTTCAGAAAGGCCTTTGATAAGGTTCCATATGGTAGGCTGCTTTGGAAAGTTAGATCACATGGAATCCAGGGAGAGCTTGCAAATTGGAAACACAATTGGCTTGATGGTAGGAAGCAGAGGGTAATACTGGAAGGATGCTTGTCTGACTGGAGGCCTCTGACTAGTGGCGTGTCTCAGGGGTTGGTGCTTGGACCATTGCTGTTTGTTATCTATATCAATGTTTTGGATGAGAATGTACAAGGCATGATTAGTAAGTTTGCAGAGGACACTAAAATAGGCAGTATCGTGGACAGTAAGGAAGGTTATCAGAAATTGCAGCAGGATCTTGATCAGCTGGGGAAGTGGGCCGAGAAATGGCAAATGGAGTTTAGTATAGATAAAAGTGTGAGGTGTTGCATTTTGGAAAGTCAAATCCAGGTAGGAGTTTCATGGTGAATGGTAGAGGCTTAAGGACTGTAGTGGAAGAGAGGGACCTTGGAGTTCAGGTGCACGGTTCTCTGAAAATGGAGTCACGTATAGACAGGGCAGTGAAGGCGGCTTTTGGCACACTGGCCTTCAGTCAGTGTATTAAGTTGGGAAGTTATCATGCTGTGGTACATGACGTTGGTGAGGCCAAACTTGAAGTATTGTGTTCAGTTTTGGTCTCCTTGCTATAGGAAGGATGTTATTAAACTGAAGAGAGTGCAGAAGAAATTTACAAGGATGTTTTCAGGACTCAAGGGACTGAGTTATAGGGAAAGGTTGGATGAGCTAGGACTTTTTTTCTTTAGAGTGCAGGAGCCTGAGGGGGAACCTTACAGGAGTGTATAAGATCATGACAGGTATAGGTAGAGTGAATGCACTCAGTCTTTTTCCCAGGGTTGAGGAATGGAGGACCAGAGGGCATCAGTTTAAAGGTAAGAGGGGAAAGAATACATGGGAACTTGAGGGGCAACTTTTTTGTTTTTTTTACACAGAGGATGGAATGAGCTGCCAGCAGAAGTGGTTGAGGCAGGTACATTAACAATATTTAAAAGGCTTTCGGACAAATACATGGACAGGAAATGTTTAAAAGGATATGGGCCAAGTGCAGGGAAATGGAGTTAGCATGGATGGACATTTTGGTCGGCACGGACCAGTTTGAGCCAAAGGGTCTGTCTCCATGCTGTAGGACTCTATGACTGAATAAATTGAAAAAACTGAGTTTTAGTCTTTTTTCATAAAAACACTACTTTCAATTGTATGCATCTGACTTCATGCAATCAGGCTAACTTTCTAAAAGAAAGAACTGTGAAGGCAAGGAACCTTTCTTTCTTCCTGACCCCACGGAATCGCAGGGAATTCAAAATCATTGATTCTTTCCTGTGCCCCAAGTTCAGCAGGGAAAAACAGTAATGTTGTTTTCATAAACAAACGTCCAGGTCACTGCTGAAATCACGGATGCAAGCTGATGTGTGCATTTTTCTTTCAAGCATCTTTGAGTACATAGGGCTCCATGGCTTCGAGATCTACTTACAGTTTGCAGGGTAGCCTCCTAAGATATCATTCAAGTCAGCAGTACCAAACAAAAAGCCACCATACACAAAATGGTGAGGGGGTGAATCAAACTATCATCAGGATCTGAAGGGAAAGAAGGTCAACATTGACTTGCACATCATCACTAAAACTAGACTTTCAAAGTTTCCAGTCTCTCTTTTCAGAATGTTAGCTGAATTGCTGTGCATTTTCAACTTTCTTTGCAAATTCTTCACAACTAAAAAAAAATTGGAAGAATGACATACCTTATAATAGAGCCCAAAGTAATCATCAACGTCCTTTTCCAAGAAGTGGATGGCTGAAAGCACTGGATCTTTGTAACCCCAAAGGAGTTCATGTACTGTTCTTGTTGTAAAAATGCCAGCCCTTTCGATAATCAACAGAGCTTTTAGCAGTAAAATCTGCAGACTAGAATACCTTACTGTATTCATTACAGTCTATTTACGAAAAGAAACAAAAAAAGATAAATCAATATAAATACAAAACAGAATTAAAAATAAAATCCAACTTTCATACATAGCTGATTGGGAAGAGAATTTTCTCTCTGTGGTCGAATATAAATAAAGTAGATGTTGCACTGCCTCACACCTTCTGGTAGTTGGCAGGGGGCATGGAGTGGGATGAGGTATTTCTAAGATGCAGGGCTGTTAAAAAACCAACCTTACCAACTAGTTATGTCGACCCCTTTTCCCCCTCTGAACTCCCTAAATGGTGAATAGCTAGGAATGGTGGGATGTAAAGAATATTGGGAGCCCAGCTATACAGATCGGTTAAATGTCACAAACAAGTACAATATGTTAGCCAAAAGTGGATGCAACATGGCTTTATATCTAGAGATGGCACTAGCAAAGCCCTGCTCCACCATGATTGTGTAAATAGGGGTCCTTCACTTAAAGATATGGTTGTGTTCCTGAGAATCATTACTTTAAATGAAACAACTAAATGAAGCATGGGATCAATGTCAAAGCCTGAAGAAGGGTCTAGGCCCGAAACGTCAGCCTTCCTGCTCCTCTGATGCTGCTTGGCCTGCTGTGTTCATCCAGCTCTACACCTTGTTATCTTAAAAGCAGAGCTTGGTTCTTGCAGATTTTTTGACCTGGTAAAAAGTGTACAGGTGAAAATACTGTGCTAGATGTGTGAAGTACTGTGTATTCCAAATTGATGTAACTTAAAACAAAATCACTAAACGTGCAAGAAACACCACATACTGCGCAATAAATTAGTGCTTTAAAAGAATTACTCACTTACAGTACATTACTTTTAGGCTGACCAGGCTCCATATGGGGACAGACGTTTAGTAAGTCGGTGCAGGTATTAGCTGGCCAGGAATATTTGCATTGGCCAACTCTGTGATTAGATGCAAGTGTGGTGGATCAAGTGTGGCTCAATCGAGGCATTCGAGAGAGGATTGGAAAATAATGTAAACAAAATCATTGTGCAGGATTATGGGAAAAGGCGGGACAGCATAAAGTTAAAATTCTCAGAGAAGCTACGCAGACGGAATAGGATGAATGGTCTCCTACACAAGTATTCTGTGAAATAAATACAAATGCACTAATTTTCTCCTTTCAAACAAAATAATGTTAAGCGAGTTGACTTTAATTGAGATTTTTACTTCATAAAAGTTAATAGCTTGCACTCGCCTGATGTTCAGTCTTCGTACGTCCAGGCTACTACAAGCTGCTAATTATATATACACACGGCATCAAATGATTTTAGAAGATTCCGAAAAGCTGCAGTAAGTGGCACGAAAAAGCCCAGCAGCAGCATCAGAACAGTAGGTGTTGGAGGCCAGCCCAGCAACTGACCATGGGGAGGAAAACTGCAACAACAGGCTAGGGACAAGTACAAACGGACAACAGCTCAAGTTGAGTAATGAACTCCATCCAACCCCACCCAGGGACTTTCCAGAATGTGACAAAACTCTCAACAGGATCAACAAGAGTTTGGCAGGTGTAAGCCATTCCAAGTCACTCACCTTAGAGGGTGCAGAACCAAAGAGCACTACAGCAGCAAGCAGGGCCAAAAAAAAGGGACCAACTACCAATGTCCCTGCTGTGGCAGAAGGAAGGTCTCCAGCTGCGAAGCAGGCTCTGTCAAAAGCTTATGGTTGTTGTAAACCAAGTGGGTAAAACCTCTTGCATCACTTGTGCTAAGTAAACCTTAACAACAATTTTGAAAAAGATCAGGTGGACTGAACATCAACAGCAATAATTTGAGCAAATTGAAAAGATGCTGATATCTTCAAAGGTCAAAGCTTCTAACTATTGTAATGGCAGATGCATTGTCCACAAATCTGTGAGCAACTTTACTTCAAATTCAGGGGATAATATGACACTTCAAAAGATACTGACTGAAACAAAATGGCTATATTCAATAGGAAAAAAACATGTTTGCTGTGACCTGGGTATGAAAAAAAATCTGACTATGCCTTGGATCTATCATTTAAGATGGAAATTAACCATGAACTGTTGGTAACTACTGAATGCAAAATAATTCAAACATGCTATCCAGAATCCACAACTACATCAGTGGTCAGCTCTTACTTCAAGATAAGGGCTTCCTGGTCCCATGATCTCTGTACCTAGACATCCTCCAGAAAATTCCACAGGGATATTTGGCCAGGATACGGCAAGCCACATGGTCACCAGGTATCTCAGCTTCTCTCAAGGAGATGATCACCAATTGTTCCATTCAGACAGCAGCAGAAAGAAATCCCTCCCTAATGGCAGAGTATCACTATGATCTCAGCTGACGTTCTTACTGGACAAATCAGATCTCCAATTAAAATCTAGCTTAATAGATCTTGCTTTTTCAAAAAAAAAAGTTGGCCTTTCACCAAACCATTAGCATGTAACACTGCAGACCGGAGTTTTGCAATAAATTAGATTATGCAAAATGATAAACTAAATTTCACACAATGAAAGATTTTGAAATCTTAAAAGTACAATATTCTATCTTAATAGCAGTCCTTTACAGTACTCAGAATTCCCATCTCTATCACATCTGCATGCTTGACTTAACTGTTGCTCTCAGTTCCTAGTCATGAGAGTTTGATAGCCTCTTCCTCACATATTCACACAACTGAGATTAGATCTTCTCAGCTTTGGAAATGCCTTCAGAGTTCAAACCAAGTACTCTGGTCTGGGGAGGCAATGGCCTAGTGGTATTATCACTGGACTATTAATCCAGAGATCCAGATAATGTTCTGGGGACCTGGGTTTGAATCCAACCGAGGCAGATGGTGGAATTTCAATAAATATTTGGAATTAAGAATCTAATGATGACTGTGAATCCATTGTCAATTGTCAGGAAAAACCCATCTGATACACTAATGTTCTTTAAGGAAGGAAACTGCCATCTTTACCTGGTCTGGCCTACATCTGACTCCAGGCCCACAGCAATGTGGTTGAGCAATTAGGGTTGGGCAATAAATGCTGCCTAGACAGTGATGCCCTCATCCCATGAATGAATTTTTTAAAAAGCTTCCAGAAAAACAAAACCCTTACTTGGAGTTAATTGCCTAATTTTTCTCTCAGGGAAACTCTTTCAACCAGGACTTCTCCAAACTAAAACCAAAAGCATTTCCAAGCTATGTATCTTTCACCTAGGCTAAATAAACCAAGTCCTGAATCATCTAAATGAAAGCGAGCTAGCACTCTTCAATGTTCCCTCTGTCCAACTGTAAAACAGATTCCCATTACCTCTCCCGAAATTTCTCTCTTATACCGATTTCAAGAAACATGGCTCAAAAAATACTGACAGGTTAATTTTTAAAACCTCCTCATGCAAAAAGATATTTTCCATGTAGGGGAACACAGCCATGATCATCTCTGATAATGGACCACAATTCACTGAGCGTTTTCAGTTCTTTGCAGCCTCATGTAGATTTGTCCATGTCACAAGTTCATGAAGGTGCCACTGGACCAACTGTATTGTGATTACTAGGTTGCAGCCACCAAGATCATACCTAGTCTAAACAGAAACTGGCATCATTTAAAATAATAGGAGGTAAACAAAACTACACAACCAATAATAACAGGAGACAAGGAACGAACAGCCTCAGAGGATGTGTTTGGAATAAACAGGTCCTCAATTACCTCAAAAATAACTTAGTACATGGTTGGAAAGAATGGTGAAACCATCCCAGAGCATCCCAGTAAAAGACAAAGACTTCGGGGATGTATAAATAGCAAGTAGGGCTGAAGAATTGGAGACGTGGATGAAAGAATAAATTGTGTCAATACTCTAACAATAGCTACTGAGTATGTGTGAAAACATATCATGATGATATCAGATCACAGGACACAGACTCAATAGAAGGCAATTGCAAAACCCTGCTCTACCACACTTCTGCACACTTTATAGTGAGTAAACATACATACTTTGCTCTAACCTAGTGTTTAGTCCTAGTCTGTCCATAGCTCCCAGAAGTTGCTAATGATATTTGTACAAAATGCACAAGTTTTCATTAGGCTAAAGTTATTGAAAAGGACATGGGGCAAAGGTGGGTATATGGAGTTAGGTCACAAATGAGCCATGATCTCACTGGGTGGCAGAGCAAGCTTGAGGAGGTAAGTGGCATGTTCCTTTTCCTATGCTGGTTGGATCGGGTACCTTAAAAACTCTCCAGAGGTGATTTGGAGCGCCTTGTTGCCTAATTGACCTGCTGAACTCGATTCAAAAGTCTCATCATCAAATGTGCAGTGCAAAGGTGAAATGTCCCAATTTCAGACCCAACGTGGAGTGTCTGAGTTATCCAGGGTATCTGCCCCTTCAGGTGAGGCGCCTTCAAAAACAATTTTCCTTTCGATAATCTAAAAATTAGGAATTTCTGAAGTTAGAAATTCCAGAGAAGCTTAGAAGCAGCTCAAATTTCTAAGGTTAGTTCTAATACATACAAGTTAACTTGACAGTACCTTGACATGTCAATTGCAAAGCGAGTTTTAAAAAGCCAGCAACTCACCACAACAGGAATATTCACTGTCCTAATCAGATCTGTCTCAGGATCTCCATTACTCAACTCAGGGACAAACACGTAGGTCTTAGTGGTGACAGCAGACACCTTCTGTCCATCATCCAGAAACATCACATTTTCTTTAGGTTTATATTCTCTGAAAGCATATGCCAAAGCTGGTTGCTATTAAAAGGTAAATTATTAAGGCACAAAATACTGTATAATTACTCAAGTGTGTACACATTCCCCTCTGCACCTGTGTCGATACTACAGTGAGCTTAAATCAGCCCGTTGCTCAAGCCATACTGATCATTAAAACAGGAAGGGGACAGAGATTACAATCACTTTCAGGACTCCTGTACACAGCAAAGTGCAATGACAATTAATTACCTCCAAAAGTTTAAGTCACTGTTTTGTAGGCAAGCACAGCTGCCAATTTGAACCATTTATCTTACAGTCTCTACAAATGGATTTGGAATATATGTTAGCCCACAACATTAGAAATCCATCTTTAATACAAAATGCTACAAAATCTTTATGGCCACCTAAGCAGGAAGACAGAGTCAGAGTTTAGTGCCTTGTGTACAACTTTGCATCCCTTCATTCCAGTCTAGGTGCGGAACCGAGAGTGAACCTACAAACTTCTGATTCAGGATCTTACAAAATGGACACTTCAACCTCTGGTTGACGCTAGATTGACCAATCTCATTGTGGGCAGCAGGTTGCTTTCTCCTCAATAATGGTGACTGAGCCTCTTCTGCCTCATGCCTAGAGACAAGAGAACAGTTTCAGAGGGGAATTTTGGAGCTGGAAGACGAAGGGGAGAAGTAAAAAAAGACCATGCGGAACAAGTATGGTATTAAGATACTGAGGGCAAGGCATGGATGGAGATTTAAGAGGCAGAGTTTTGGGTCAACTGGAGTTGGGATTGGTGGGGTGGGGTCTGGGCAGGGATAAAGTATTAAACTAAATCAAGTCTAGAGGCAAAGTATTTAAGAGGGTCTCAGTACTGGACTGGTTGAGATAGGGGGATATGCAAGTAACACAACGGAAGAGTGAGCTATTGAATTGGAGGAATTAGAGGGGCTAGCTCATAGGCTGGACCAAGCAAAGACTGATTCCATCTTCCTCCTGCTTTCAATGGGGAACCCGAATCCCTCTTTAGCCCCTTAAAACTCCATTCCTTTCTCAGAGATAGTAGGTTTAGTTGCACGAATGGAAAATAAAGAACCAGTTGTCAGACAGTTTAACAGCAGAATGGTGTGGAAAGCTCACTGCCTGGAGGTCATTTACAGCAACTTCTGGTCGATATGGTTGACAACACCTAATGTGGCACGTACCCATTCCAACCCCTTAAACTAATTCAACTTCAAATCGCTAAAAAAGGATTCCAATGTCATTATGAGGCAAACTGTGTGAAAGGTCAACGTTTGTCTTAAATTAAGCAAGTACCAGATGAAACGATCACAAAAAGGAACTGGAAGAGACGTAATAGTCAACAAGATAGTCTTCACTCACAGTTAAGTCAATGCAAGTACTTAGAATGTGTAAACTATCATGGTAAGCATTTCCTGTTGAGTAAATTCCTTAAGACAAGATCAGATTTGAGAAGTAGGCTTTGGTTCAAGGTCCAAGTTCATGTCAGAAACAAAAACCAACCACAAATCAGTTAGTCAGGTGATCACGGACGCTATTTTGATTTAGATTAAAACATTCACTTCTCTAAAAGAAAATCATGAACAATAACATCTAGGTTGGTTCATTTCAACATTTGCCATGTATTTCATTTAATTAAGCCTAAATGCTAGCATTTCTAGAATCTGGAGAATAAGAATTGAGGTATTTAGTAAAATTAACGAGAACTAAGCAAATATTCTTGCCAAGAGGGACAATGGCAAATGATGGGAGTGTTATTTAGATGTAAATAACATTCCGATTCAGATACAGATTTAGGGACTTGCACTATTTGACTTTGAGGAGAAAGAGAAGTAAGTAATCACTGTGAGCATTATTTTCACTTCTAGCTAGCAGTTAAAGGTCACTGTCTGTCCATTACTTTTCCTAACGTACGTAGGCTGTTCTCCTCAGTACCATGACTAATAGAGGAGATTGCAGCAGCTGCAATACAATGACAGAATTTTCCCAAGAATAAGAGTTTTATTTGCACAGCATGCTATTGCCAAAATCATTTTCCTTCGCCTTAGTAAGGATAAGAGATATGAAGGTGGTTTCAGAGTTGTGAGCAAATGAGTTGGAATGTCGCTGAGCAGGTTGAGGAAAAGAAGCAAATATTCGTCCAGGACTTGTGGGGCAGCACAACCTGAAATGTACTAGCAATTCACAAATGCTCGCACAGGGGAAATGCCCAGCATAGTACGAGGCAAAAAGATACAAAGTACAGCCCAGCACAGGAACAGGTCCTTTGGCCCAACACGACAGTGCTGGCACATGCCTTTCTAAATTAAAAACCTTTCGCCTCTGTCTGGTCCATATCCCTCTATTCCCTGCCTATTTATCCATCAAGATGTCGCTTAAACATTGCTAACATATCTACCTCTACCACCACTTCTAGCTGTGGTCCAGGCATTTACCATCCTCTTTAAAAAAAA